TTAACTTAAATAAACAGATTTTATAAAATAAATTTATAAAATGCCACTTACACTGTTCTGATTTTCTTATGCAGACTATGGAGAAAAATAAGCAATTCTACGTTTTGTTCTTTTTAACTTTTTCGCTTCTACATGGTAGACAGAGTACATGTACCGCAGGAGGAAAAATACATAGCCTGAAGCAGCTTTCCACGAGGAAAACAGTATGACCAGATAACTAACATTTTCAAAGTAATTATTAGAAAACGTTCATTTTGAAAAAGTAATTTTAAAGAAGAATTTTTGAGAAAGAAATTTTGAGAAAGAAATGTACATCATACTCCTAAGATGTCATGTACCGTCGAAGAATACGGAATACGCCAAGCCTTAGCGAATACATATGTATATTTCTGGGATTTTAATAGCGAGCGTGCTATAGCTTACGGTTAAGCACGGCATATTGACTGCGTGTTGATGACTGGGGTGCTATAATTTATGTTTGAATGTGGTACACTCACAGTGTGTTGATGTTGGGCGTGTTATGGATTATGTTATCCAGCTTGGAAAGATATTTTCAATCGACTCGATAAACCCACTTACTTTAGTAGAGTGGATCACAAGCACAAAATTCAGTTCAGAACACAGAGAACAGATGTTTGAAAATTTTCATTCACAATAGATAACACATAACGAACTGGAATAATACCTGCGGCAGCCATGAACCCCTTTCTCTAGTGTGTACAAGTTCAAAATACGATTAACTAAAGAATCGAGGTAAAGTTAGCTTATCAAAATAGTTATTATCTTTTAGGTTATATATATAAATTTAATATATATATTAAAATAAATGTTATTTTAAATATTAGCTATTGTGATAATCAGCTATTAAATAATTGTTTGTTAATATAAATTATATTTAGATATATAGTTGAATTGGAGTGTCTGAAGTGTGTGAAGTGTCAGTGCAATAGAACGCTCAAAGACTGCAAGTGGTAGTGGTAGCGAATGTGATAGTGAAGTTGAATGAAGTGCAGTTATTTATTAGTTTAAAAATTCCGTGCAGGCAGCATAAAGTAGTATAGTAAATCCTGTTAGTTTTTATTTTATATTGTTATTACTTGCCTTAGAAAGGCTTTAAAATTACAGTGTATTACTATTCTATAGTTTGTAAAATGTAGTGTTCTGCCACCAGGTTCTATACCTACTTGCAGAAATAATAAATCTATCTATCTATCTATCTATCTATGTTCAAGCGAGGCGCACTCACTGCTTGTTGATGACGAGCGCGCATATTGATGACGGGCGTACGAGTAGATAACGGGCATGCGTGCCTATGTCGAGCGTGTGGGTTGATGAGTGTGCGTGTTGATGTCAGATTTGTGTAGATGACAGATTTGTATTGATGACGAGCGTGTGGATGATGGAAGAGCGTATGGATGACGGACGAGCGTGTTCATGACGAGCGTTTACGTTCAAGCGCGGCGCACTCCGTGGAGTGTTGATGTCGGTCATGTGTATTGATGGTGGGCGTGCGTGTTGATGACGGGCGTGTAGCTCCATGACGGGCGTGCGTGCTGCTGACGGGCGTGCGTGCTGACGGGCGTACGTGCGCATGACGGGCGTACGTATACGCCCAAGCGCAGCGCACTCACGGCGTGTTGATGACGGGCATGTGTATTGATGGTGGGCGTTCATGTTGATGACGGGCGTGTAGCTTCATGACGGACGTGCATGCTGACGGTGGACGTGCGTGCTGATGACGGAGGGGCGTGCGTGCTGCTGACGTGCGTGCGTGTTGACGACGGGCGTGCGTGCGGATGACGGTTGTATACGCCCAAGCGCAGCGCACTCACGGCGTGAAAATGGCGGGCATGTTCATTGATGGTGGGCGTGCGTGTTGATGGCGGGCGTGTAGCTCCATGACGTGCATGCGTTCTGCTGACGGGCGTGCGCTCTACTGACGGTCGTGCGTGCTGCTGACGGGCGTGCGTGCTGCTGACGGGCGTGCGTGCGCATGACGGGCGTACGTATACGCCCACGCGCAGCGCACTCACGGCGTGTTGATGACGGGCGTGCTGTAGGAGAGCACGCGCGAGCGCGCGGGCGACATGACGAGCGCGTTGAGGGTGGCGTCGGCGTCGCGCCGCTCCAGCAGCCCCACGACGCCGCTCCAGCTGCCGTTGGCCAGCTGCGCGCCCCACGCGCCGTCCGCCGGCGCCACCAGGCGCGCCCTGCGCATGCGCACTCGTCGCACGAACAATCCTCGAATCCGTCCTCCACCTTCAATATTAAAGTCTCTGGTTTTTCTCTTAAAGAAATTTATCCCTCAATTTTAGACTTTTAAATGTCACGTACATTTTTTAAAAATATGAGTAATTGATTAGTAATTTTTTATAGAAATTCTGGCATTTTTTCAAAAATGATTGTAATGTTCTGCGTGACTCAGAATGAACGTTACAAACTTCTAGAGCATGTAGAGGGAACGAGCAAGATCACTTCTCGCCTATGAATATGCATGTTGACCAATGGGTTCGAGTCCGTGCCAAATTCAAAATATTTCGCGCAAATATATATTGAAAAATACTTTTAAAATATTGAAGATGAATAAAGTAATGGCATATTCATAATTATGATGAATTAAAGTTATTTTTTTTAATTAAAATTACTTGTAAATTGCTATTGGAGAAAAAAAATTTGCAGTTTTGGACCAATTAGTATATCATTGTCATATACAGTTTTCTCAGAACGTCAAATAAGGAAGTTATACGTGACATTTCCCCCCTAATTGTTAGGCAGTTTATCATATATTACTATACTGCATGTACACGAAACATGACCTGCTGAATAATAGTGCACAGTGAGTTGTCTACCAATCAGAGGCAAATGAAGAGCGTTCATGCAAAAACAAACACGACCTCTGGAAACAAAAATTGAGTTATCATTGCAGTTATACTAATGACCGTCAGTTGCACCTTCTGTCCTCATGTGGAGGAGAAAAATCAAATATATCCCGAATAATTTTTGTTGTTGTAAATATACGGGATTCAGGCAAAATTCAATATGTCCACAGCACTGTTGCAAGCAATAAAGATCATACAATAAATACAATAAATAAAATAAAACTGGCATAGTAATAAGCACATTAGGGGTGAAGGGAAGGGGGGATCGAAAATGTAAGGGCAGAGGCGTTGGTGCGGACGATCTTCTGTGGCGCCGTTTGATTTCAGGTGCTGAGGAGGCCAAGCACTGGAAGGAGACGGCGGGACGCCCGCGCCAGAAAATAAAATAGTTAAAATAAACGTCGGATAGATTAGAATGTACTTGGCTTCTGACGGCAGGTTTTTCCCCCTTCAGGGCTTTTTTCCTGAACCGTACCTTGTGGTCTCTTTTCCGCGGCTTTGATGCGATGGAGAGACCATTTGGGGTGAATACCAGAATCCGAAAGATTAGAACGCGAAAGGATGTAGGTATTGTAATGGCTTAAAGGCCTTCGGCCTAGCCACATAGGATCAAGTAATCTAATTCGTTTGTAATAATTACCTATTAAATAAATAATAATAAAGATCATGTCCGTGCCATAAGATGCCAAGATCCACGATCACGTAATGGCTCATGCCGCGTGGTTCATTCCGTCTGTGAAGACTTCACAATAGCGTCCTATTTTATTTATTAGAAGATTGGGATCTCATGGACATAAAACTTTGAGTAATGCAGTGTGCAAGAACATCAGAAGCGCGAAGCGAATGAAAATAATTGCAGAAAACAATGAAATGAAAAAGAGTCTTACAGTCAAAGTTATCCCACAGACCACATCCCACAATATTTTAGATTTAATGAAGTTTCTGCTTTGAACCTTTGTAAACGTGGTATTTTATTAATATGGTACAATGCAGCGGTCAGCAGGTGTCACCTGAACGGGGTATACCATTAGCAAAGAGATTTAATGTAGCAGGTCTATTGACTGAACTTTTAGAAGATAAATGGAAAGAAATCTTCAGATACTCCTGGCATGGAATAGTATTCCTTTGTTCTTGATGGACCAATAGCTAAAAATAAAACTGTAAAGGATAGACAATAACTGAAAGATAATTGTGATTGTTCAGAAGATAAAAATTGCTGTAAAATATATTTTAATTTCATTTTAGTTCTTTGAAATTTCTTTAGAGGCCAAAAACGTTTACATTAGCTACAGAAATTGTTGTAGTAGTTTGTCGGTAGAAACAAAATATTTGCTTACAAACTGAAGTAAAATAAATTTTCCAAACCAATAGTGATGGCAACAGTAGCCCTATTTTATTCAAAAGCAAACATGTCTGCAGGTGCTTCGGACAAAAGCAAACATGTCCAGATTTTTCAAGAAAGAGTAACATGTCCAACTTTTAACCTGAAATATCGCCATAATTTTAAGTAACTGATTTGATAGTGGTAGACCATTGTAACAATACTGGTGAGCAATACTACATATTACATTGTTTTAAAAGGCAATAGATTGTCAACAATCAGTTTATCGCTGTTTCTGAAAAATCTAATTTGATGGACAAGTTATTTGCATGAAAGCTCCACAAATATTACATATGTAACTTCGTTATATGAAATTGTCCTCTACAAGTTTATTGACCAAAAGTTAATATCTTTACATTTATTATGAGACACTTGTATTAATTTGTAATATGCATACAATGGTACTATAAAATTGTTAAGTATTTATACTTCCCGCAATATTTTCTCAATGAAAACGTAAAAATCAAAGTCATCTCTATACATCATTTTTTAAGAGACTTCAAACATTCACAGAACAATGAAGTAATGACAATCAGAATACCACATTTGTTCGCCATATTGGCTTGACATTTTAAAACAAATATTGGAGCGACTGGACTTTTTAGGAAACGCTTCATCACTCTTATGACTTCATCATGGAGTAAACTCTTTCTTCGAAAAAAATCGCCGATCCGAAAAAAATCGATTTGAGAGTGTGGTAAACAATTAAAGAAATAACATTAATATCTATAAACGTACCTAAATTTCATAAGATTCCTAAGCTCCCAGAAAATTTCTGCTGAGATTCCGCCAATATCTTCAGAGGAAGATATTGAACCTTTCTTTTTGGGAACCACATATGGGGGATCCTGCGAACAAATCACATCTTACACATATTAAAAGTACCAATTTGAAATAAAATACTTTTGGTAATTACAAAATAAGCCATACCAGCTACATCATAGTCGCCGCTGTTCATAAATATTAATATTTATATTTTTGATCAGTTTGACTAATCTTTTTACTGGAAAAACCCATTCTATTCAATACTCTTAAAGTAACGAGATAACCCACCCTTTACTAAAAGTGAGGTATTATCGTAACAGTTGCGAGGTAGACTTCCTGTGGCTGCCGTTTTTGCTCCAAACCATTCCTTTGTATTATTGAAATAATATAATATAAAATAGAAATAAACAAATACTAACAACTAAAATTTTCCCAAAAGGAAAAAAAACGTCTATTTAGAAATAGAAATATGGAATATAAACGCACTTTATATTCCAAATTTTTATATTGCATGACTGTATTCATTATTAAATGGTCTTAACATTGATGAATGGAGTTAGGCCAAACAGCTGAGTATTGTTCAGAATCACACCAGAATATGCTTTTTTGTTCTGTATGAAAATATACCCTCCCTGTTTTGTTTACTTATTCATTACTATTCAAAACAACAATAAAAACCTGGAATTTTTAAATTTACAAATCAACAATCACTGCCATTTTTTAAAACATGTTAACTTTTCTGATAAATCAACCTTTCATTTTAATTTTCCCAAGATCGTAGATAATCAGGCTGAAGGGGTGAATGTCCGGAAAAATAATTTTAAAAAGTACTGATAAAGGTCAAAATACCTATATGGTATTTTGCATATAAAATTAAAATAATGTCAATAAAACTTCATGGGCTGAAAAGAGAAATATAAGGAAATATGAACAGAAACGAGATATTGGGAACTTAAGACTTAAGTTAAGGTTAAGAAAAATTATTTCGCATATATATTGAAAATATTTCATAAATAATATTTTATTAAAGAGACATTGTTATAGTAGAAGAGAGAATTCAAATGGTATAGTTACAGAGGAAGAATTTAAAAAAATGATCATATTTGGTAGAAGTAGGATGCGTTGCCGTGAGCAGGAAAAAATTGTTATTAAAATTCAAACGTAGAACATAAGGTGATTAATTAGACGAAAGGCATAATTTAAGGATAAATGCAGAGACTTCGATTTTCGCAGACTATGATATAAGGAATACAAAAGACGCACGTACAGCCTACAACACACATAAATCTATAATTCACAATTCTATCGTGCACTGCTCCGGAACGATGCGCTCTTGACCATTTGAACCGGGTTTCCCTTTAAGAAAAATAGTTATTTCTCATGCCGTTATCTAAAATATGAAACCAGCTTGGTCGTTTCATGACATTTCCGAAGGGCAACGCACTCCACCCCTCCAAAGCTGTCAGGAATGTGATAAGTTGGGTTCCAGTGTGAAGCTGAATACTGGAATCTTCTGACTGTATTCACACCGTTGTGATAACTTCGGCCCAGCTGTTTCTTACATGTTATCGCAAGTCTCTCTTATTTTCTTAAATTCTAGGTCGGATTTAAGACTTATTGTTGATGTACTTTATTAAATAGTTATCAATAATAATCGCAGAAAAATCTTTCGTAGGTTACTTTCATTGCAACTTCAATTCCAGGTGTGTATGTTGCCGTTGTAATATTCACTTGCAGATCAGTTTGATATTTTACTCTGCTATATTTTCTTTTTCGGTTTGGCCTCTTGTCGCTTATATCATCTCAAATCATGTTTCCAAAACAACATTCACCACCAACGAGGAAGTCAAGCGGTATATAAATCCATGTCGTATTAAGACTAAATGGCAAAAAACTACGCTTTCCCAATAAGATACTTCAGGTAATTATCTGAAAAACAACTTACTCAAGTTACAGAATTACAAACAAATTTAAAATAATAAAAGAATGTGTTACGCTACAGCTACTGTAGTTTACTACCACAATCTCACCTACACTTACTTACTAATCCCACGTTGGTAGCCAAAGAGTTAACAATTGAAGGGCTGAGCGCATTAGTGATCTAATTGCCTAAAATGAAAATAGTAGTAGTAGTAGTAGTAGTAGTAACAATGGTGTGATTCCCGCACTGGTCTCTTTGTCGTCCTCACTACGCTCGGACGACAAACTCGACTCGTGTGTGAATCACCTGGCGCCGTTTTGCGTATACTATTTTTTAACACGCCGTGATCGAAACAAACAGCATCAAGTAAAGGAATATAAATTAAATATCAAATAACTAGAAATACCTTACTTGCTCAAAAGTAAATGGATTTCTATAAATGTAACCAACGAGCTAGAATATACTACATAGAGTGGCTGAAGCGTTTCAATCTTTGAAGCAAAGTGATGCTATGTTTTTTGTTGTCAAAGCAGCACCCACTGGGAAACAAAGTATTCTATACTGCGATTTATGTAACTCTGCCCCTAGCAGGTATCTACTATCACTGTATCATCCAATCGAGAGCTTGAACGTTACAATAGTGACGTCACTATGGTGACGTTTAAGCCTCCGATTGGATGAAACTGTCAACAGCTGATACCTGCCAGGGGCAGAGTTGCGAAAATTGCAGTATAGCATTACGTTTGCCACTGGATAGGGACAGTTACACCGCCAATCGTATGTTTTGTCTTTAAACAACATGGCGACCATTTGTTCGGCGATCCTCCACCAAGAGCGCTGAAACTATAGAGAAAGCCACTCTATACAATACATTCTAGCTCGTTGGTCGTAACGGTATTGTTTGTAAATAATAAACAAAGATGTCAAGACGAAAGACACATGGGAATTGTAACAGATGTTTCGTACAATATGTAAAAAGTAGCTGTTTCGCACACGGAAAACAAGCAGCAGAAACCGACTTCCTGCACGGCGTGTTAAAAATGAATTATTGACAACATTAGTTTTCTAAGATGAACCATCTTTGTTCTTTGTTGGTACTCTAAGTAGTTAAGAATGACTTTTTTTTCTCTTCACAACTATTTCGAACGAATATACTACGTAACTTTAACTTGCTTTTTCGCAGTTTCCTTAAAATGCGGGTTTGTTCACTATTGCGCCGACCGCTCTCAACCAACTCACCTGCACGTAGGCGACGACGAGTTCGGTGCCGCGGAGGCCCGGGCGGCGTTGGATGAGTGAGCCGCGGGGCGCGGGGGCGGTGGGGGCGGAGGCCCGCCATCGGGCGCGCCAGTCTATCATCATTGGACCTCTCGCGCGCTCCCTATACACCTGCGTCCACAACAAACGAAATTCCTTTTTTTTTTTTTTTATTTTTTTTTTATTTTTTTTTTTATTGAGAACGAGAACCGAACACATTACTTGGAATTCGATGTGCTGTCGCTCAGTACTTACTGACAGTCGAATTTGAGGATCCACCTTGGGGTAAATACCGGAAGTTTGGCGCTCGGCTAATAGTAAGCAACCCATTCACACTACTTGGGATTTGATGTCCGGTCGTTCCTTACTGACCGAATGCCGAATGTGAGGACCCGCCTCGGAACGTGAACCGAATGTTAGGCTCTTGGCCAAATGTAATCAACCCAGCAACTTGGAATTCGACATGCGGTCGCTGCTACTTACTCAATGCCGACTGTGAGGATCCGACTGAGGGTAAATATCGAATGTTACGCGCTCGGTCAATGGTAAGAAACCCATGAACATTATTTAGAATTTGAAGTGCGGTCGCTGAGTACTTATCAAATTTGAGGATCCAGCTTGGGGCAATTACCGGATGTTTGTCGCTCGCTTAACAGTAAGGAACCACATGACTTGGCATTCGGCGAGCGGTCGCACGTTACCCGCCGACTGCCAAATGCGAGGAGCCGCCTTAATCCCCATCGCGAAGAACGATGTGCGACGTACCTCCAGCAGCGAGTAGGAGTCTCCTTGGGGCAGGGCGCGTGCTGTGATGACGATGCAGTCGAAGGGCAGCACGGAGCCTCGCAGAGATTCGTCCTCGTCCACCGCTTCGTCAGCAGTGGTCGCCGGTGGCAGCAGCAGCAACCAGGGCGCACTGCAGTCCGGAACCGCTGACGCCGCCTGCTCCACGGAAGTGGTTCGACATCGACAACAAAACATCCATGTTACCAAACATTGACGATCGAAACTAAAACACCGATGTTAAAAATATATCGACCAAAACACATTGATGTTTTAAAGTTGGTTTAGTAATCTCTAAGCATGCGCAAATAGCAATCATTTGACAGCCGTGCATATTAATTTAAAATTTAACTGAAAGGAAGGTTTAAAACGCCTGTATATTTCCAAAATACAAAGAAAGACGATTGATTAGTTGTTTTTGGGTTCGACACCGCGTCAACGCGGTGCTGCCAAGAAGGACACTTCGTCCCCGCCAGCAACGCCACTGATGATGCCTGCCACAGTTGCAGGCGAAACAGAGCCAGTCTCCGTTGGACCACGGCCTATAAACCCGAAAACAACTAATCATGATGTAGAAACCGGCCGTGAAAGGCTACATTGTATGTTGATTGATTGTTTAGTGATTCAGTATCAACTACCTGGGTCATTAGTCCCGAAAGTGAAATGAATGATTTTTGCTCAGGAGGTGGCGGTGATATAGCGAGATTCGGCGCCGACCTACCGTCGGCTAGCGGGATTTTCTCGAACTTGGTATATCTCACCATCGGGGCACCGCCCCAGCCGGGACAAGCTCTTAGCTCCTGACGGGTCTCCCGGCACGTGTGGTAGTGTAGTGCGAGTTAGTGTAAGTGTGTGTGTGTAAGACAATAGATAGGACAAGGATGCGGTAGGAATGATCGCGAACGGTCCTAGGTCCGTTTGTTTGGGCACTGCTTCGGCATTCGCCTGGTGTTGATCGGAGAAAACACGTAAAACTACCGATCAGGTCGCTCGCCTAATAGTAAGGAACCCATCTACATGACTTGGTAAGTCATTCAATAAGTATTTCTGTACACGCCGACTGAGCCCGCCTCGGTCATTTGATTATCTTGGCTGGTATATCTTCTGGTGTCGGCGACTGATTTCGAATCCGGTGTTTCTTCAGGATATATTGTAAACGAAAATGTAATTAGTACGACTAATAAATTGTAAATGTGCACAATAAACATTGGTTATTGTTTATTTTAGGTACATTTTTTGACCTAGCAATATTCCCATCAACTTCCAATCCTCAACTGTGATGGTGCAGTTGGATTAACAATTACTGAGTGAGGAGTACAATTACTATTTATTTTTTACTGAACCATTATAGCTTGTAATTGCCTTCGATATGGAGTTCGATATATGCTGCATAACTTACTTGGGTCGAGAGGACCGTGGTTACGAGGGAAATATGAAATCAGTTCAATAATGATACATGTTCTCTTACGGAAAGTGTAGTATGTCATAGCATCATTGAACTGATTTCATATTTCCCTCACTGGAAATAATTATGAGGGAGAGGTGTGAGAGTGAATTGCGAGAGGGAATTGAGAGAGAGAATTGAGAGAGGAAATTGAGAGAGGGAATTGAGATAGGGAATTGAGAGAGGGAATTGAGAGAGGGAATTGAGAGAGGGAATTGAGAGAGGGAATTGAGAGAGGGAATTAAGAGAAGGAATTGAGAGGGAAAATTGAGAGAGGGAATTGAGAGGGGGAATTATAGAAGGGAAATATGATAAGACCAACTGAGCCAAGTTAACATCCAGTTAATTGGTAAATAAATAAATCTGAATAAATAAAATACGGTAAAAAATAGAATTATGTATGTACCACAAGCGTTAACTACTAATTGCTGCTGCTAGCAGTATAGCTTTGAAGAAGGCCACAGCAAGATGGCCGAAACGTCAGCACAATTGACCGAGACGCGTCTCATCCCGGAGAGCCAGAATGCATAAGATATCAGAGGAAAATGGAAAAAAAATATTTGCAGAACTCAGGTAATGTGACGCAAATGGCATCCAAACACACAAGCCCACATTAAGCCCTGTGACCGTGATACATCATTGCATGTCACACGCAAGTAAGGAAAGGGGCTGAAAATCACGAATCGCAATAACAGTAATATTTTCTAATCTAGTCTACTTCAAGCAACTCGTTTCTAAAACGCAATACGGCTACTTATGAAACGATTAGCTGTAATAAACCTAGGTTTCCCAGGTGGCATTGGTTAAGTGCAAACACACTTCTACTGCAAACGAACAATATGCAAGTCAAGTTAGAATTGTATTTATTAAAAAACTGTCATTAGAGTTCAGCAAGTTTTTATTTCTTATCAGGTCAATAATTGATAAATGTCTCCATCGAGGACTTCAGTATTCTGATTATCTTTTGAGTTTTGAAGCAGGGGGGATTAACCGCTCCCACAAATAGTTTCACTCGGTCCAGTAATTTAAAAGACTACGATTATTTAAAAGAACTAATGATTACTTCAATGCTTGGTTTTTAAGTTAACAGTTGTCCTGATATAAAGCCGTTTCACTATCATTGTGCAACGACCTGTAACAATTTAATTAAGTATTCACTGGGAGTAGAAAAATATTTTAAAAATATAATATTTTTACTGTCTGTCTATTCTGGGAAAACAGCCTCTGACGGGCCTACCAGCGCCTACCAGCGGACAAGGCCTACCAGTGGCGTCCCGGCCTTGCGGCTGTGGGTTAAGAGGTTCGTGTGGTTAGCACACATACGTCCCTTACGTCTCATTCTGGTCTTCTTAACCTAAGAAGTGAGCTTTCTCATCGTCACATAGCAACATAAGCTGGGACATAGCAAGGAAAGGACACAGTATAATCTGCCCCGATCGGGAATCGAATCCGGGATCGTGACTTGGAAAGTGAGCACGCTGACCAGTGAGGTATCCTAAAGGTATCCTGTTTTTATTGTGACGGTAACAGAGCAGGGTTAATAAAGAAGCCAAATACCTTTCATGTATCCATATTTAATTCCGAGTAAAGAGTTTGTAGATTGCCCTAATTTAAAAGTATGTGTCAGGGCATCAATTTAGGTACAAAAAAAATTATTGGATAAAAAGAGGCGAAAAGAGAGCTGGGAAAAGGTAGAGGGAAAATGGAATGGAATATAAGAGAGGGGAAAAAGATGGAAAAGAGGAGAAAAATAGGGGAAGAGAGAGTAGGGGAAAGAGAGAAAGTAGGGGGAAATAGAGAGAGCAAGGTATTAGACAGAGGTAAAATAAAGAGTGAAGAAAGAGAGAAAAAAGTCATGAAAAAGTAGTAAAATAGTGAAAAAGAGAGGGAAACGCAGGAAGCAACTGAGAGGTGGACTGACAGAGGGAAAAGAGAGGGGGAGGGAGAGAGGGGGAGGGAGAGAGGGGAAAAGAAAAAGACGGAAAAGGAGAGAAGGGAAAAGAGAAGGGGGAAAAGAGAGAGGCGAATGAGAGAGGGGGAAAAGAGAGAGAATGGAAAACGAGAAAGAGAAGAGAAATTAGAGAGTGTAGAGGAAAGAGGAAAAATAATAGAAAAAAGAGAGAGAGAAAAGGAAAGAAAAAGAGAAAAAATAAAGTGGGTAAAAGAGAAAGAGGGAAAAGAGTGAGGGAAAGAGAGAGAGAGGCACAAAATAGAAAGGGATAAAAAGAGAGTGAAGAAAAGAAAGGGAAAAAGAGAGAGGGAAAGAGAAAGAGAGGGAAAGAGAGAGACAAAAAAGGAGAGGGAAAAGAAAGAGAGGAAAGAGAGGGAAGGATGTGTGCGGAATCTGCTAGTGTTTTATAAATGGGAAGAGTTTAGGGTTTTAACATTTAATTAGCTGGATGTAATGATTTTCTATTGAACAAAAGCAAAAATTTATAATTTTCAATTGTTGCCAACTGTTTACTGATCACTGATCAACCTTTCTTCGTAATTTAGCTCTGCAATGCAGTAAAAGAGGGGAACTAGGGATTTCGCAAATCAAAGAAAACGTGCGCATATTATACTTTTCCTCTAAAAGTCGCAAATAGCTCTTATTTTCGTTTTTCGCAATAAATAAAAATGAAATTATTTGAACTTTGCAATGAGATTCTTACTCAAATAAAATTTCTTTCTTATCTAAATATGACGTAATGCTCAGCTCTTCGCCTTCTTGCTTAGATCTATTTCAAACTAGAAAACGAACGGGAATTGTCATATTTTAAGGTTAAAAGGGTTAAGGTTAACGGAGTGAACGCGAAGGTTGTCTGAGACGCTTAACACAGCATAATACTTCGGAATTTTTTCAGACTACGATGACCATATTTGAATACTGTCTGGTGTTACGAAAATCGTAAGTGAGGTTTTGGCCGCGGTGCTTTTGCTACCCTCTTATTATCTTCTTTAAACTAGATTTAAAAAGTGAAGTTAAAAGTTAGTTTTTTATCAACACCATGCTTCGTAATTGCATGCATTATGCCACATGCGTGTTTGATAGACATAATATTCCGCTACGTTTAGTAAAGCGATGACAACTTTGCAGTTCGATGAATCTCGAATATAAGGAGGATGACAAAAATATTTTTAAACTTATCTGTCCACCTTTACATGCTGTTTACTTATGTAAAATGTCTCTTTCCTATATTAGTCGTACTAAAGATTGCCTAGCAATAGTTTGGTAAACAATACATTAGGTACAAATTTTTTTCTTTATTGGTAAACGCAGAAATGTAAATACCTTTCTTCTTCTTCTTCTTCTTCTTCTTCTTCTTCTTCTTCTTCTTCTTTTTATCTTTCTTCTTCTTATTATTATCTTTCTTCTTCTTCTTCTTTTCTTTCTTCTTCTTCTTCTCCTTCTTCTTTTTATCTTTCTTCTTCTTATCTTTCTTCTTCTTCTTCTTCTTCTTCTTCTTCTTCTTCTCTTTCTTCTTTTTCTCTTTCTTGTTTTTTCGCCTCTTTCTTCTTCTTCTTTTTCTTCTTTTCTTCTTCTTCTTCTTCTTCTTCCTTCACAGCCATAGCGTCTTCAATTTTAATACGTTCGGGTATTTCTTCATTCGTTACCACTACGCTTCGTCCGATTTTGGATGACCGCACAACGCAAACACGAAAGCAGACCACGCGATTGTCTCCGCCGAAGTCAATATTGTGCATCATATTGCTATACTAGTACTAAAATATGTTAAAAATTTAAAAAAGCGATACCTGATCGTGATACTTGAATACACTGAGAGAAATGTTGCAGTAGAACGTACTAAAAATGTTTAGTAAGCGCTCATGTAGTAAATACATTTATTCCTGTAGTAAGATTCACTAAACATGATTTTGTTTCGTTTAGTAAATCAGGCAATTCAAAATCGTTAGTGAATGAACAAAGAGAAGTGTCAGAAGAAGTGACACTACAAAACACTGTTTAGTGAGCGCGCATTCTCAGCCAACTGGCCAATTCGAAAGATTTGTGAAATGTGAGAATTCAACGTCCATATAGCATTCGGTACACAAACGTCGGGAGCTTGCCTTCGTAACTGTTCTGCTTGCCAAGGGTCTGTCAGATAAACGAGATTTAGGAAGCACGAATCTACGTGACCGTAGACCGTGACCGTAGTGACCGCTCCGGAACCCCAGTTGCTACCTGCCTGAAGAAATAGAAAGAAAGTATTCCCTTTCATGTTTCGTTAGTTATTTTCACTGCAATGTGTTTAGTAAATATTACTCAATGTATTTGCAACGATTCGTTTAGTTATCGCCGTAAGATGCTATTCGTCCCGGGTACGACCTGTTTAGTGAACATTACTATACGTGCATTAGTGTGTTTATCTAAACAGCAGTTTCGTGAACGTGACACGTAACGTGAACATAAGCACTTTGATCTTCCAAAATGTACTCTACCGTTTATTTGAATCTACATGATTAATTGTATGAACTAAACATTTCTCTCCGAATAGTACTTCTTTTATTATAGAAATATAATAATGTACTGCGTGTTTAATGATTAACTAGGCAAAACTAAAGTGTGATGCTCAAATGCTGTCATGTATTTTCTTTAGAGTTGTGTAAACAAGATAAAGAAAGTTTCCTTAGCGAGCAAAAAATAGTTCACTTCTGCCCAGCATTCCGTAAGGTAGCATTTGGTTACGTTGTCTTCTAATTAACATTCGTGAAAAAATAGTTTACGTAATATGGGCTCGAAACAGGTGATTCACGCACGAGTCAAGTTTGTCGTCCGAGCGTAGCTCGCAAACGCAATGCGTCAAGAAAATAAATATAAATTAAATATCAAATAATTAGAAATCACTTACCTATACAAAATTAAATGGATTCCAGTCGGTGTCGTAACACCACTGTTTGTAAATATTAAACAATTTCGGGGCGAGACAATTGCGAATCGTCACAAATGTTTCGCACACTACGAAAAAATTAGCTGTTTCAAATTTGAGAGCAGTTATTGTTTATAACTAGGAAAGATAATTTATTAAAATTAAAAAACGCAAAATATATACACACATTTAGAGGGTTGATGTTTTATATCAGTGAAATATTACAAGACTGCAAATACCATTTCTACGAAAAATAAAAGTATCTCAAGGAGAAATACATGAAGTGTTTACAAATCAATTGTTTTATCTTTATGTTTGACGAGTAGATAAATTTATATTTCGTTGAAATCTGCGGTACAACTAGCACCCATACTTTGCATTCCATGCCTCGAATGGGTCGATTAAAGTGCACTCACGGTATGGACAGAGACCATTTTATCGACAAATGGCCCGAGGGCATTTTGCCATTGAAGTGCTTTTTCGTGTTCTTACACGAGATGGAATCAAAGCGGGTAGGTTTTTACCTTGACCTATTTCGATGGTCTCGTGAATATAATGGTTTACATTCTATCCTGTCAGTAAGAGAAGAAATTTCCAAATGTCGATGTTAATTGTACGGTGTACTTGCTAACAGAGAGAGGCTACTTGCGATGTCAACCTGCCGCCGAAGTCAACCTTTCTGTTTCGGATCCGTAGGAAAGGAAACCATGAAAATCACCGCCAACAAGCCATGTCCATTTTTTAATAATGAATTTTCTGGGTCAAGGTTTATTATTACAAAAATCAACAATTTAGCAGACTTTGACAAGAGAAATGGAATCACCTCTTGTCTACGTTTTCAAAAAATCGAAAAGCGCACTAATTGTGCCTTCAAGGAACTAAAAAATCCCAAAACAAATATTTGTTCCTACAACTTCTAATCTTTTAAAGGTTTTCCGTTTGTTAGTTACAAAATCAAGCGCTTACAACTATTTAAAACGTGGCTTTAAAACAAAATGAAGAACGATAAACAGGCTTGGAGTTGCTTTATATTTTACTTTCTCGCTATGGAGTACAGGGAATGTTTTGTCATTTTGCGCGCAAAATGGCGAATTTTTGCCATAAAATCTATTATTACAGGACCCTGGGCCCAGGGTAACAAAAAAGTGGATAAATACAGTTATAAAATTTTAAAAAAATCCTCTAACACGTGGTGTAACCACAATACATGTTTTGTGGGTCCTTGATACCCGAAAACCGAATGACGGCGAAACGTCTGTCTGTCTGTTTGTCTGTACGTCTGTGAACATCGCTAATGGTTAAACTGTTCCGTCGTTTTTTCAAAAATGATATTTCCCAATCGATCTGACTGATTGAATGAATTTGAAATCGTAATTTTAATTTTGGGGGTACTATACATAAAGCCCCTCGGACATTTACATATGAAAAAAATGGCTACATCGTTATTGATTAAATATTGTTTTATTATCGTGGGAAGAACGTTTAACAGAACTGTGCTGGTTTCATTTTCGTTAAAAACCGTAATCGTTCGAAAATTGCAAAAATTCTAATTTTTTAAGAGTTTTCCTACAACTAAAATGTTAAAGACAGAGATTTTTTCCCTTAATGAAATCTGTTTCTAAAGATAGATTTTTAAATAAGGTCGAGTGCAATGTTTCGAAAATTTGAGTACTTTTCGCGTAATTTTGCGCGAAAGAGCGGGTGAGAAAGTACGCGCTGGTTTAGCACTACTATTTTCGTAGGTAATACCCAAGTCCATACTCACTAGGTCACGCACCGCGCACGCGCCGAAATCGGTAGCTTTCAACTGTCCTGACGTCATGAGTACCCGCTTCCTCTTTTCGTTACCCAATGGTATGCCTTCGCGACTGCTGATACTGTTGAGGGAGAGGTGAGAGGCGGCGATGGTCACCTTCCCCAAAAGCGACAATAGGAAGGGATGCAACAAGAAATATTGTACGTTAAATTTAATATCACATGTCAGAAAGTGGAATTTTATACTCAAAATGCTATCAAAACATTAACATATGCTACATCATCGCATTCCTCTTTTTATTATCAATTGTTAGCGACAAACAAATTTGCAAACAAATAAAATCAAAGTTTATTAAATTTCTTGAAAAATGAAAATGTTTCAAACAATATCTCTACAGCATATTACTTGCCCGACGATTCCACATTATTAATCGAAATCTGTGATTCGATATCGTGAACGGTCTAGAAGTTACGGAGGTGGCCCATAGTTTGTGGAACATTCTATATGTGTCCTCGAAGTTTCGTAAGTCAAACTTGTACAGAGAAATTGAACAAAATCATTTTAAAGTGATTGACCTAATACAGTGCTAATTTGGTTATTTATAGTGATGAGCAGCCAAGACAGTTGATTTAATATTGCGTTGTAAACTAAATTCAATAATAAATGACACAAAAAACGACGTAGTTCGTGTTATATCATCGTATTGAACCCCGTTCACCGTGGAAGAAGTTCCTTTCGACACCGCCGCACTGCGCTGCTGTCGATTTCCTGTCGCGCCACAGTAGACCTTGACGAAAGCGTCCCAAGCCGTCGACTGCTTGCTGCATTAAACATACGATTTGATTTGGAGATGCGGAGAGGAAGCGATGAATTATCTTTTAGAAGCGACCTTTGAAGCTGACTGACGTCAGACCTTGAAGAAGTTGCGTGCCAGAGTGCACTTGGTGGGTTCTCGTCTTCGTCAGGGTCCAGGTGGATTTGTGCTCGGCCGAATCCGCTTATGAGAAAACATTTACGAACGAATATTTCAAACATTCGCTGGTGCAAGCCCAGTGCCACTGCAGTTGAAATGTTTTGGAAAAATAGGCCTAAGTTCCAAATCATTCTAACTAGATAAAATTAATTTTTCGCTATTCGGCTGAACTGAATCATTCTATACGGATGAAGATACGGTGTTGCAGTAGTTTCTGATCGAGAATGTCAGAGGAAGACCGTCGATTCAAGGTACCTCACAAGAAATATTAGCGAGATGTTTCAAAATAAACGGGTGAAACGTGTTGATGATAGTTACTGCCACACATGAACGTTATGTAAGTCAAAGTAAAATAAAACGCGAGGTCAAATTTGTGTACAAAAAACTGTCTCTAAAATACAATTTTAGGTCAGTCTGAACAAAAAAGGTAGTGTTTAAACAAACTCCAGAGAAAGTGTTTCCTTTAGAGCATGCATGGCGTAATCCAAGTTCACTTTTTAGCACTACTGCTAAAAGTGAGACGATGCGCAAGTGTTCAAAAAATATGTGAATGCAACAAAGAAAACAAAACCCTTTCGTCTGACCGCATCAGCTACTACGGACCTTACTTAACAAAGAACCCTATAAAGTGATTAGTATAATTGAAATAAAATAAAATAAAAGTCAGTAAGACTATCAGTGGCACACGTGGTAAAGGTGATAGGATTTTGTTCGTAGCATTGCTTCACTCAGACTTACGCACATGTATCGCAACTTTTCCTACTTGCAAAACAAAATATAACTTTTTCTACTCGCATCACAAATAACTATTAAGGACTATTTCAGCTGAGGAGCATACGTTTTATTAACACTAACCCCTTAAATAACGTTTTGTTCACTGTAATAAAGCGAGTGCAAAAACTTTCTGTCCACCAATTTTTCCTACTTTTCATTTCTTGGCTAAACGTTGGTAGTCCCCTAACCACTGATCACCAGGTATTGTTTGTTGTTTTATCTACGTCCTCAACTCTTCGGACGTTTGACAGTACATGCTCGTAAATGGAGGATTTAAACCTTCAACTGAAATCCAAGATTAGGTGCGGTAGCATTACAACGTGGGTGAGGAGAAATACGTGTCACCGCTGGATCAGGTAGTGAGCTGGGAACGCCATGTCGTCAGGTTTGATTGATTGATTGATTGATTGATTGGTTAGTGATTCCCGGGCATGTCAAATTGTAGATAATTAGCCTCGTAAGTGTAGTGCATGGTTTTTCCTCTGGAGGTGGCTGTGATCTTCTCCCTCTGGATGGCGAGATCCAGCGCGGACCTACCCGTCGGTTTGCGAGTTTTTCCCCAACCAGGAATCTCCCCACAGCGTGGCACCACTCCAGCCGGAGCAAGCTCTTAGCTCCCGACCGGTCCCCTGGCATGTGAGGTATTATAGTACTTGTTAATGTAAGTATGTGTAACCAAGGGGTGAGGATAGGTCAAGGAATGGGAAGGGAAGATCTCTCGTGGTTCATTTGTTAGGGTACTGCGTCGGCATTCGACTGGCGTTGATCGGAGAAACAACGGAAAACTACCGATCGTCTAGAATCTCCTTCGACCTAGCTGTCTAGCTAGTATTGAAAAGCCTGCAACCATCTGAAGTCGAATCCTGGGACCTCTCTGCCAGAGGCACTGCAGTGACATCAATTGATGCCCTGAGCCACCCAAGCCGGTCCGCGACACTAGGGCGGCTCTCCGTCTTCGGACGGCTTCTCGACGCAGAGGATTTTCGTGACTGTTAGTGATTCCGAGCGCGTCAACAGCAAAGTCCAGTAAATGTAGTCATGAGATGGCGGTGGTTTTGCCCAGCTGAGTGGAAATATCAATTTTGGAATATCAATTTTGAAGAAAATGGGGTGGACGGCTTAATTGCTAGCGTTGTTCCCAGAGGAACTGGCAGACGTTTTGTCGACATTCGATTTTTTGGTATCAAGAACCCACAAAACAAGAATTTTGACTTCCCACGTGTTAGTGGAATCCCCCCCCCCATATTTAGCATTTGAATTTATCTACGTATTCGTTTACAGGGCCCGACAATAGAGTTTTTCTGCCGAAAATTCATTTTTTTTCTGGCGCACGATTACATAACATTCTCTTCTTAAGGAATACCTTTTTAAGAGCGAGAAAGTAAACATATCGACTTATCATATAACTAACATGACACCTGCACCATCTTCTTGAGTTCTTTAAGCTATCCAAGAACAAAGATTTGAAAAAAATGGCGCCATTATTGAGAAGGATTTGAAAATGTTTTTGAGGCTTCGTGTAAAGTACCCTCAAAACCAGAATGTAACAATTGGATTTATCCACTTTTTCATTCTCATAGAGTTTTTCTGTCGAATATTACGCTGATTTCCGGTGCACGATTTCATAGCTTTCTCTTCTTACGAAAGGACAAGAAAGTAAATTAGTAGAGCTACATAATGGCACAGACTTTTCTGTATTAGTTTTCTATTTCCTGTGGTCTCGGCTAGCTATTCAAACTTGTCACATACTGTTACCTGCTACTCTCTATGGCCACTCAAAGAATGTTTTTTTGAAATTTTCGTAATTTTTCGGTTCTCTAATATTTGAGGGAAATATTATTTTAAGAATGTTAAAGAAGAGTAAAACCTCGTCGCAAACCACGTTGAAATTTTATTTTTGAAAAATTTGGAGTCATTTTTAAAATAATAGTGCTTAAGCGCTACAGTAAATTCGATATTTGAAACACTTTTTCACAGAAAATTTTCGTGTTTTCGAAAAACTTCATTTGAAGTCATTTGACGTACTTTACCTTACAAATGCTACAATTATTATAAATCGCTGGAAATGTGCATATTATCCGCCTGAAAGATCTAAAAAGAATTACATTTGTGTATTTTAAAAAAAAACAAAAAAAAAATACCCCCGAAATGAACTTTGCATCATATTAAAGAGCACACAATAAGCACTGTCTGTTCGAAAAGTATGAAATAATTTTGGAGCCGCTTTTGAGAAGTGGGCGTTTGTAAAAATGCGGGATTTTGAGCTAGTTTTCACAGAAAACGGTTGCGTTTTCGAGAAGCTTTATCTGACATTATTTAAAGCACTTGTACTCATAAATATAATAATGTGAACATTTTGTTGCTAATATAAATATTACAAACGTGAGAGACAAGTAAAAGAAATCATATTTTGTAATTTTTGAAGAAAAAAACCCACTAAAGTATGTAGCAATATGACGTTTATGTCATCTTATTGAGTACATTTAGAACTATCACTATCAAACGTTAAAAGAAAAAAATTGGACCCGTGTTTGAAAAACTCTTGTTAATGTAATTTTTTTAAAATTGCACATACTGCTCACAATATTGCGCGAAAACTACTAAAATTTTCAAAAAAAATTTACAAGACCTTAATAAAAGAACTCAGTATGGACATCAAATTTCATTTTAAAGAAAAATCTCTATCTTTAGTTTTGAAGCTGTAAGAAAACACCGAAAAAATTCAAAATTTTCAAAAATTTAGAGTTAACCGCGAAAATAGGACCCATGCCACGTTTATAAGTGTACGTTACCCTATTCTTACAAGAAATTTAAAGAAAAAATTTGGAGTCGATTCTGAGAAAATTCTGAAAATGTCAGGAGGGCTTCATGTAAAGTAGTCCCAACGTTCTTCAAAATCACAGAATCAAATCTCAGAAATCAAAGAATTTTCTTCAAAATCTCAAAGTTTTGACTCGAGCCAGATGGGCAGGGTTTTCTTCAATTTAGAAAGAATTCTACACATGGTTTAGGCGCTAGTAGTGTGGACAGACGGACAGATGGACGGACAGATGGACGGACAGACGGACAGACAGACAGAGGGACAGACGGACAGAGGGACAGAGGGACAGAGGGACAGACGGACAGACGGACAGACGGACAGACGGACAGACGGACAGACGGACAGATGGACTGACGGACAGACGAACGTTTTAGAAAAAATACATTTGCGGTACCAGGGGGCCCCAAAAGCTGAATTTCCGTTGAAATCTGAAAGTCGATTTTCCGCAGCATTACATAACATTCCCCATACTACGTATATTACTCCGCATATACGTACGTACACGGGAAAGCAAAAACTGCCCTACCTGAGCGAAGGCCCTCCCGACTCGCGGCCCGCCGGCGACGCGCAGACATCTGTTCTCCGCGTGGGTGGCGACGGGCGCGAGGTCGGCGCCTGGCCCGGGGCGCGGGTCGGCGGCGAGCGCTGCAGGCGGAGGGCCGGCGTCGAAGCTCCGCACCACCACGGGCAGCGCGCGCCGCCCCAGCGGCGCCAGCAGCCCCAGCGCCCACTCTGGAGCACCAGGCAGTTGCGCCGAAGTCAATCTTACAACACTGCTCACTTAAGCTTTTGCAATTGAGGGTAAACCCTGAAGAAAAATAAAGTTCTTGCTTGGTTAAACCGCCAAATATTGGATTAATTGTTAGTGATTCCGGGCGCGTCAACAAATAAGGTCATTAGTCCCGTAAGTGTAGTGCATATTTTTTGTTCGGGAGCGGGCGGTGGTCTTCCCCCGTTGTATGGAAATATCCGGTATCCGGCTAGCTGAGTGTTTTCCCCAACCAGGTACTTCCCACCAGCGGGGTACCGCCCCATCAGTGACAAGCTCCAAGCCCCCGATCGATCTCCCGGCATGCGTGGTAGTGTAGTGCATGTTTGTGTAAGTGTACATAAGTAAGGGGTGAGGATAGAACAAGGAAGAGGTAGGAAATATCGCGCTCGGTCCATGGCCTTTTTGTTAGGAAACTGTTCCGGCATTCGCCGGGTGTTGACCGGAGAAACGAGGGAAAACTACCGATCAGAGCAGCCGGCGCTAACATTAACCTCGAGACAGCGACTGATTCGACCTAGCTGACAAGCCAGCGTCGAAAGTTCTGCCACCGTCGGGAGGTGAATCTAGGACATCCCGGTCAGAGGCACTGCAGTGATGCAGTTGATGCCCTAAGTAATCGCTCCCGGTCCCAAAACTGGAGCCTGGAGTTAAGACCTAAAAATCGAACGACACATGATGGAAAGACATGGATGAGCTTCTTGGCATCGTATTCGACTTCAGCTAATGGGCTTTAGGTACCAGTTTGCGTCACAATTAAGCGTGAATTTTAAATGCAGCTGTATATAAAATTATCACATTGTTACACGTCTTTGAATCAGATATGTGAAGCATTTATTTGAACTATTGCATCTTGTACACCTTCATCGTGAGAGTTTTGGTTGGTCACCGTTGAACATTTTCACTTAACACCACTTTCTAAACGTTTCTCAACACGACTCGCTCTCCAACATGGCGGCCAGCGCCTAGTCTGGCTTTTCAAATGAAATGTACGTGCTGCGGTCACGTGGTTGGTGACGCAAACTGGTGCTGCGAAGAACGAGCAAAAATTTGTGCGCCGGAGTAACTCATATATTTCCATCATAGGTCAATGTACCCACAGATAAGTATTTCTTTCTTCAAACGCCGTGTTTGACCATATGCATGTAGAGAAGTGATCCTAATGACGATGACAAAATATCTTCCATGCGACAGTGCGTTAAATCTGAAACGTTAAAATCAGGGACGTCCTTATGGTTTTGGAACTCGAAGCGACATAGTTTACCTCTCTCCCTCACGTTTACAATATATTTAGTTTTTAATTAACTGAAATATTTGAAATACTCATCTATTCTATTTTTAATACAATAAGGAAAGATTAGATTTTTAGAACTTTTCAGGATAGCATCACAGAAAACGTCACAGGAGTGCTACTGCTACAAAAGGGTGCATGAAACATGTAAGACAATACATTTAAAATTACCCGAATATGAAATAAGGCAAACGGTAGGAGCACATGCGACCTGCAACATGCATTACGCTGCACTGCGTTATAATGTGGTGTAACAACAAGACGATGCCTTCTAGACGCTTAAAATCCAATTTTCGTGTCACTTACGGGTTACGAGTTGTGTATCATGTCCAACAATCTATCAAATAAGACCTTGAGCGTTGTAAGAGAAATGGAATTTGAAGGGTCAATTCAGTGGCACCATTTCTTAAATCGGTATAAGCTGGGTTCCAGCATAAACATATTTTCACATTTAAAACAATGATTATCACAATAAAAATTACATACATATTCATATCAGTATGCAACTTTATCAATAACTAAAAAAATATATGATTAAAGAACGAGAGTAAAATCTTATTTATGAAATGCAGACGGCTTTTAGCGGATTCCTTTAGCACGTATTTAGCTTGCGTACGTAGTAATCCACCCTTTTAAAAACAGACCTGTTTATTTCTTCACGTTCGCGGTAATTGTAAATAATCCTATCATTGTGAATAACCGTTGACTGATCACTATTTTTGTCTCGCGTTAAGTAAAAAATAAAAATAAAAATAGCTAAAGAGCAATGCTGAACTTACCGGCGTCTGGACGGGAGTGCACCAAAGTTACACAGGAAAGTCTGAAGTGAGCTCGAAGGTCTTCGGTGAGTTTAACGAAGGAGTCGACATGCTCCAGCGGCGTTGCCAACTCTTGCGCGAGCAGTAGGAGCGAAATAACTAGCCACATCGTCCGTGAGTTTGAGAGCTGCGGTGAGAAGAACAATTTTATCCAGTGCAAAGATAGGCAGAGACTGGGATAATGGGAATCATGGGAAAATGTTAGACGTGTAAGTCATGTATATTATGTGTGTGTGTGAGTGTGATGTGTGAATTATATACACGACTTACATGGCTGACATTTTCTCATGATTTAAAACCAAATCCTAAGAACGGGCTGTTCGGCTGGTCATATTCTGAGATAAGAGTACATCTCGTTCTGAGGAGAGTCGATAAGGAAATTTCATGTACCTGGGGACATTTGTGCACAAGGGGAGTTGCCTAAAAATCAGGAGCAAATATATGTTTAAATGCAAGTAACATCATTTTAGGCAGGTTCCTACTACTTCCAGGTTCTTTGACATCATTTTCGATCTCTCTATACCCTTTGTAAGCTTTATTCTGAAACACCTTTACATATAGTGAGTCATTTTAGATGGTGAAAACACACTAAGATGTTTCTAATAATATTAAGCAATAGATCATTGCTTTACCGCTGTGGCCTCCCAAGCAAGGGGGATTGAAGTGCCATATTTGTTCAAACAGATGATGGTACACGGAAAACAAGCAATAAACAAGACAATGTAGCAGATGTTAGTCAAGTGATAAAATAAATGAAAACAAATGTTGAAAATGTACAAAAAGGCGGATATTTAAAATACAAAGCGGAGGACGAGAGAACAATTGACGTCAATGGAGGACTGTCCTGACTGGAGGACGGTTGGCAACCCTACGGGTCAGCCCGACAGCGGAGCGGTCCGCCCGGAATACCGCCCCGACAATGAAGTGGAGTTGGACGGCTGAAGTGTACTCTGAATTGAATTGAATTGAATTACTGCCTTATTTTACGTGGCGAGACTCAGGCCATTAGGCCTGCTCTTCCGTCTGACCACGCAAATTTCGCTACGCTCCTTTCACCTACTAGCAGAGAAACAGGCGAGAAACAGGCGATTTGAATTTAGCTCAGAGGAGTCATTTAGGCTTGAGGATCTTTTACATGCAAGTAAATCTACTAACATGGGACAGCCGGCTTTACTTCCCCTCCGAAGGAAGGCGTACGAAGGATTTTTTCGCCCTTACAAATCCACGGCTGGCGGTATAACCCGCCAACTTGGGTACAACAGTCCGAAACGCTAACCGTTACACCATCGCCGCGCGCAACTCTGATGGAGTTGGACGGCTAGGACGACGCGACGATTGGCCTTGGGAGGTGTGAGATGAGCTGGTTCGGAGATTAGCGGCTGCAACGGGCTAGCGAGCGCTTGTTTGTTGGGTGTGTTGGGATAATGAGAAGAACAAATAACCAAGTGCAGACACGCAGTTAGCTTGCGAGCAAGGAAGGATTAATAGAAATGTAATCGGACCTCAAGAAAGCGATCCCCCATTCGTTACATTCAATTTTGACTATTTTTTACGAAAATAAATAAATGTTTTTTTTGACAATAAATAAATAATTTTTGATGTTATTTTATGTAATTACAACACACTGATGAATGTCAGTGGTAAAGAAAGAGACAGTGTGAACGATTTATACGATTAATAGAATTTTAGCAGTTTTATGCCCTGGAGATTTTGCAGGAAGAGAATGATTCATAAACTTATTCCAGAACAGAATTTGTTAAACATATTGTAAATACATATGAAAACAATATTGCACAACAATTTTAGCAAATAATTATCCAAAATTACGCTTTTAGTTAACACAGCATCACTTTCTACAATATATTTACGCGTAATATATATTATAATGCTGAGTTATATATAATGTATATAATAGGAGACAACGATTAACAGTGTTGAGATAACTTGATTAACGATTAGATTTATTCATATATAAACAGTAATTGTTCTCCTGACAATTAGCGTAATTTTTGGGAAGATAATGCAAAAAAAGAGATTTGCCTTGCAAAAACGGGATAATTAGTTGTAAATCTCTCTCTAATATTTACCACAATAAATTAGTAAATTATTCGTCTCAAGAAAAGTCAAGAACTTAAAGTAATTACTGTTCACTCACCCAATAATCCGTAAGTTGGACAATTATCTTTCAAAACTGTGTACTCTATTCGCTTTAGAAACTTCGCACACATGTTTCTAATTGTACTACAAAAATATACATAATTCGTTATTTTAACAAGAAACACGTCCAGAACAAATATTTCATATTAGATCAGGCCTCCATGTTCCGGCATACACATCATCCCTGTGGAAGTGTAACTACACGAACACCGGCGAATGAGTCATGTATTGATTTGTGTGAAAGAATACGAATCCATTAGAATCCACAATTTAAGCTGATGGATACATAAGCGTGATATCGGGGCACTTCATCTGCACCGGGGCAAGCTGCACGACATTTGCCAGCACATTTATACGGCCTCTGAGGACAATGCATTACATGAGATAGCGTCATAAAGAGAGACCGGAAAATATGTAGTATGAAACGTCAAAATATGTACATAAATGTGAAATAAAAACAGTAAGAATACGTAATAAACATGTAAAATCGTACAAAATATGTAATATTCAAATATACTAATTAAAATCATATTTATATAATAAAAAGTTACGCACTTAAAAATGTCCTAAACAAATTTTAAAAATAGTACAAACGTTTTAAAAATCACATGAAGAGCACGAGTTAATGCAAACTTTGTAACATACAATTTTCCCGTCAGTAATAAAAGATCCATCAATTGCTATCCAAGACCGAAATTCAGCAGTCAGACTACATGCAAAAGAAGTCATGGAACAAAATGGCGATATCTACGACCAACGAACAATCACTGCCGCGTGAAGCATTCTCATTGAGGTGTGACCCGTAGGCGATTGCCAATGTTACTCGGGAATTTGGGATAAGGATCACGAACCGCGGCGTCAGTGATTTTTCATCCCTAAACAATCTCAGTTGCTGACGCACACAACTGCCCCTGAGATAACTGAAGCAAGCACGACGGACTGTGAGAATTTCCGACTGCGTCGTCAGGTAGCGCTCCTCGAATCCACAGCAGTAATTACGTAGGGGAAAAATGTGCTTTTTTAAATACTTATTTTCATTATAAATATGTCATAAAATTGAAGAAAATTGATAAAATAATTTTTTTGGTGAAAATACCAAAATATGTAAATATTAGTATTATGCTTACGTACTCGTGCGAGAACTCTCGCATTTTAAACTTAACCGTCTTCCCTATCCTTCCATTTTCATATTAAGAGAGAAGGTGGTTAACGAAACGCGTTAATTTGTTAAAAAAATGTGTAAAGGTAACTCCTAAAGTACATACAGAATATCAAGTAAAAATAAAAACAAGGAAATTAATGTTTAAAACAAATGTTGAATAAAGATTTATCCAATGTTATAGACAAATGGAGTTGGAACAATTCACAACACTTCCTTAAAATCAATATTTAAAGTAATTGTGACATCTTCCTTGTCAGTTAGCTTTTCACTTTCCTTGATAGTCATAAAAATATTAGAAAAAGGTTTTACTCTTCAGAAAGTTACGTAAAGTTGGCTATGCGAAATTACAGCATCGGGCAAGTTTTACCCCTTGGGAATATTATTTAACTCTATTAGCAAACTGAGAGATACGCCCGTGCAACTAAATCGCCTAGAATATCAAGAAATTAGTTTAATTTTACATACAGTTGCAGATTAGAATGCCCCAAAAAGCTCTCATCCCACAGATTACGGTGCTAGGAACGTTTCTGTAAGGCCTTCGGCCCCAAAATTATAGATTTTAAGGCTCTAGAGCGCTTCGTTTAGAAGATATTAAACTAATTAGATTTTAAAAATCCTGGCAGCGTGTTGCGGGTTGCATTTGTAATGAATATTTAGATGTCTTATATTCAATAATTCCTTCACATTTTTAAAGATAACGTGCAATTCGCCACGTCTTCGTGAAATTCTCTTTCTTCAGAGACCTCTTTCATAAAGATTAGTTGGGTGCGAGAGTCGCAAAAGATATCTATACTACGTATTGAAGTAATATAGGAGGCGATTCGTAGTACTAAATATGGAAAGATGTGTAAGAAAAAAATTAATATTGTGTTAGGGCAACAACGATTCGCCAAGATTACAGTTTTGAGAACGGCAAGTCGAAAAGCAAAAATATTTAATTACACAACAAAAACCGGTTTCTAGTCATAAAAATATGATTCATTTGAAAATCTAAAAAAAGCCGCGAAGACCTGGCAATAGACAGTTTATAGAGCTATTACTTAAACATGTAAAACAGTCAGCAATTTGGTTTGAAAACGTCTGAAACTGTGTGTACAGATAGTTCCTTGGCGAAATATTCGATTGTCTTAAATGCTGTTACTTTCCTGGATTAAATTCCTTATTATGTTTTATAGACCACCACATGTCAGGAATTACAATTATCAATGAATGAATTATTTGTTAAAATACACGAAAATTATACCTCAACACAAGTATTTGAATATTAATACAACTTCGTAAAATAGTCTCTCCCCTCAGTAGCAGCATAACGACATTCCGTCGGAAGCGTTTCTGTGTCAAACTAATGGTACTACAACAGCTCGTACTTTCTAGAATTATTTCTAGCGATTGTGTCATTATAATTGTACTTGAACTCCAAAAAGTGTTTCCAAATTGCAAAAGTGTTTGCCCACGCTGGGATTCTCACTCAAGTGCTTATGTTTCGCAAGCACTTCATTAAACTACTGCTACGTCACACGAACGTTCTACTAGTTTGTTATCTAATTTATTTAGTGTGGGTAACTCTTTGGTCTTGCCCCATCCTCTTGCCAGCTGCCATCTATCGCCGCCCAAAGTGATTTTTAAAAATTTTTCGGATTTCTAACGGTAGAATCGAAATATTACTTTAAGAATATTATAGAAGAGTAAAAACTTCGTTGAGATATTTGAGCCGTTTTTCGTTGTGCCTTTTTTAAGAAATTGGCCTTTAAGCGTTACTGTAAATGCAAAATTAGAAGCTCTTTTTCACAGGGATCTTTTGAGTTATCGAAAAATGTTATTGAAAGTCATTTGTAAAACGTCTACCCACAAATGCAATAATGTATAGAAATTGCCGTAATTGTACATATTAAGGGCGTGAGATATATTTGAAAAAAAAATACATTTGTATAATTTATGGAAAAAATACAGCACAATTAACACTATTCGTAGGAAAAGTTTGTAAAAGAAATTTCGAGCCTTTTTGAAAAAATGGCGTTTGAAGGTTTCTGAAAATGCGGAAATTTGAGGTCAATTTCTCAGAAAACTTTGGAGTTTTAGATAAACTTTGCATGATATCATTGAAAGCACATGTTTATATAAATGCAATAATGTGAACAAAAAGCCGCGAATGTAAATATTAAGGACGTGAAAGACAAGTAAAAAATACATTTTTATAATTTTGAAAAAATATTGCACACAATATTGAGCGATAATTATTAAAATTTTCAAAAAAAAAAAATGTACGTGACCATAAAGAAATAACTATTGAAAAAAAAAATTCCTTGAAAGAAAAATATCTATCTTCAATTTTGTAGTAGTAGGAACAAGTCGAAAAAATTTCAAATTCTTGAAATTTTTGAAACTTCAGAGTTAACAGTGCAAAATGGCCATATGCCATCTTCATAAACGTAGATTATTCTTACAAAAATTAAATAAAAAATTTGAAGCGGATTTTGAGAAAATTTTGAAACTGCCCCTGTGGCTGTGTAAAGTACCTCCTAATTTTAAAATTGTGAAGAGACAAACCACTCCGTGGACAATATTTAGAAAGAATGAACAAGCTGCAGATCAATAAAAATCAATCATTATGTGGATTAAAATGGAAAGAATTAAGCCCGAATGGAAGCAATTCTAATAGCTGCCCATGATCAAGCGTTGAGTACACAACATTTTGATTAAGCGGTTCTCAAAATGATAAATGCCACGTTTGCCAGAAACAAGCATAAACTAATAATAATATCGTCTCTGCTTATCCAATTCTAGCAAAAACCGAATACATGAAAAGACACGAAATGATGTGTAGTTAATGGTAGATCTATAACGCCCTCGATGTCTCAAATACATTCTCCAAATGGTACGAACACTCACCAAAACCACTAACATCTATTGGACTGTGTTCGATCAACAAATTGAAACCAATCGTACAATAGCGACAAAAAATCAGATATTGTTATCTGGAATTTGGAGTAAAAACATGTCTACTTGTAGATGTGGCTGTGCCATGCAATTAAAAGGCGGTAACCAAGGAGCCTGAGAAACGTCTTAAATACAAGAGTTTGGAAATAGAGATTAGTCGAATATAGTACGTCAAAGCACAAGTCGTCCCGATAGTAATCTGAGCTCTGGAATTTGTTCCGCAAAATTTGTGCAAGAATTTAGCTAAACTCCCAGGCCTTTCATAAGATTGGGCAATACATTGCTTTATTTGGAACAGCACACATTTGGCTCAAATTACACCGACAACCTTCGATGTGCTCCTTAGGAAGCTGGTTGCAACCTGGAGTATTTTTTATATTCAACTGACTCAGAATATCATTAGTCGTGAAGTAGAGTAATAACAACAACAACAATAATAATAATAATAATAATAATAATAATAATAATAATAATAATAATAATAATAATAATAATAATAATAATGGTCCAAAATGGCGATGTACGCGAAAATAGTCACTCAACATGAGAGTGACTTCAGCCTCTACACCTCAACCACCCGTTCACCTTCACGCGGTGGACCTGATAAACCGAGCAACCTGAGTGGAGGTTGGGTATCAACCCCAGCGGAAACCAGGTCGGTGAGCAGACGAACGAGGTAGGGTCGGGGAAGGCTATGCCCCAGTGCCACACAAAGGAAAGGGTCTCTCGAGTGGACGACGTCAAGGCAGGACGTCCTACTATGGCGGCAACGGAGGAGCCAACTAGAAGGCCAACGGCGGCGTCAAGAACCCAAGTGAGAAGGGTTACTGCCATTTCACCTGGCCGTAGGTATAAAAGACACACGACCCATCATTTTATGGAGATATGATTACAAGAAGAAAAATGAAAAAAGCCGCTGTTTGCGGATCGCCAGGGCACGTCTGGTGCTGGTGCTGGTTTTGACAGTATGCGAACCACCGGTGGTAGGTCGCTGAACAGGCGGGCGCCTACTGGTTCACCCGAAAACACTACAGCCGACACTCAAGGAAGCACCAAAGACCTCCAAGGTCAGCCTACCTACAGTGTTTTGAGGGAGAGTCAACCCTCAACCATCAAGGTAGGCAAAGAAAGACAGCGCTTTAAGTGGACTATTTACATAAGCATATTCATAATGCGCACTTACTATAAGATCACAAAACTTGAAACGGACTTA